AAACATTACTGTAACATGGTAACATTTCCTGAATGATTGTAGGCCAAGACTGTCATTAAATTAAAAGTACAAGAGCTCACATTTAAGCATCTTAATAGCCACTGTAGTCGTTTCAGGCCTCCCTCGAAGTCCTACTGCTGTTCCTTTGGCAACCTGACCAAAAGAACCTTTACCAATGATCTTTTCTATGGTCACGTGATCTCTTGGAACTTCCCAGGAGCGTGTTAATGGATAAAGAGGCGCGTAATCAGCACCTGGAGCGGCACTTGGTGCTTCTCTGTTATCTGTGTTAGCCTCCCTGAGATCCATGTAATCTGCAGGAGGTTGTGTAAGTGTTCTTGAATCGGGCTGACTTGCTTCGATATCTTCTAATCGTAATTCATTCTATTAAACCAACATACGCGTTAAGGTTTTCACATATAAATCTCTGATCAATCTCAATAAAAAGGTATAACCGGCCACTAAAAAAATAGTTCACCCATTTTCATCAAACTAACTTTTAGGCTCTTCTTTAACAAAATATTACAAACACGTTCTAATCGTTTGTCTTTTATTGCTACAAAGAACAACCAAGGGTCTGTGTTTATAAAGTAGTCGGGGACCCCTGTAGAGGAAATCTGCCCATTTTTTTCCAGTCACAACAAAAAACTCCCAATTCCTTCAATGAAAAACATGATTTTTTTCTCGTTATGTTTTATTCAAGTTTTTGCAGCAAAGCGACGTGAGGGCACCAAGGACGGCTTTTTTCGGACCGGCTCATGTCAACCCGTCCGACCCTACACACGTCAGCTTCTATTATGTTTTGCTATGGGATATCGCGAGCGGGGCCGAACTGGTCATACGATAAATCTTTTATCTTTTCTTGATCATGTTTACACGACAAGTGCGGGATGACCAGCTTAGGCGGGCTGCCTGGTCTACCGGGCAGAATAACCTTCTCAGCTGAGGTAACAATTTGCCGTGTAAACGTCTCAAGGTGGGTAAGCCGGGGTTGCGTTTATGTTACAAAAGATCAATTGAGCAAAGTTTTAGCGAAACGCGCGAGTTTAAAAACCTTGTACATTTCTGTACCATACAAAACTAAAACGTTAAAACAACAACTTTACGTCCTCCAAGCAATGAAACCTCGACAGCAATTAAGTCACGCTTTTGTCCTGAACTCAAAATGCATTCACTTGTTATGCCGCAGTGAAGACGTCGTATCGTCAGAAACGGTTAACCCATCGAGCTATAGGCGAAAATCTTAGAGGAAAATGAATTCCGTTTTTTCGCCTACCTCTCACCACACGTTACCGCAGTGACCTCTTAAACTCCCTAATTACAAGCGCTACGTACTACAAGCGCTACGTACGACAACCGCGAGAAATTTCACCCCGGAATCTCGCAATTATAAGGTTGTAAGTAAACGCAGGTTATTTTTCGCCCACAGTTAGGCGTGTCACAACGCCTGCCAGGGGTCCTCCACCTTCATGTAAACAGATCCTAACATTTTGTTCTCTGCCATCAAAACTTACATGTCCAATGGAGTGATCGAAGCTCAAAGCATAATTTATTTCGCTGAAGCTATAAATTGCAACGAGAAGATCAAGGAATGCTAGTGTAATTATTTGGAAAATACACATGCGAATAAACTCTTGCCGCACGCAGCTCCCTAACTACTGATTGTAAGTAAAATAAAGCATCGGAAAAAGTAAGACAGTATAAAGAGCACGGAAACAATTATTTAGAAAGTCTACCGGGTGCAGCCGGTAGACTTATTGAGTTCAGCTACTTTCTCTATTTCATCCTATAACATAAATGACTATAGAACGCATCGCCTAATCGGATGTTTTATCAGGTTTTATAGTTCACCACTAAATTTTCTCCGATTCTCACTGATTTCAGTTGATAACGTGACGCGATAGCTTTCATCCGTGGAAAGACACCATCAGCCCGTAATGCCCGTCCGCGGAAAATAACAGGATGGATAGTACTCATACGAAAAGAATTTTGAATGGTTTGACGGCCGCGAAGTTAGGTAGATCGGGAAAGCAGTGACGTTTCAATTCTGACAGACATAACGTATTATTTAGCCAATGTACGGTTGCGAATTATTGACGTTTGTGACAGCCTGGCAGGCTGTGCGCATGAAAAAATATTTGATTGATCTACATTTAAGGGGTTTTGACTGTTTTTCAACTGGCGCGCGGAAGAAAATTTAGTGGTGAACAAGACAATAGAGTGTTTATGTCTCGGAACTATCGGTCTGATAGTTGCTCGACAGAAACACTCTATTCTCTAAATAACGCCCGCATTTGATCGGTGATAACTAGTTAGGTCATAAAACCAATAGAACACATGGCCTAAATCCCTCAGTTGCAACTTACGTCGTAAACACCTCTTTCATCTTCATAAGTCCTACAATTGATAAGGGATACTAATATTCATAAACAGCAAGGCAATTCGTCAGTTTTAATTGAAATTTTATGTTATTTGCAGTAAATGGTTTGAACCCGGGGGTAACATGTGAAGGTGTAGTCTGATCGTCCGGGTGAGTGTAGTCCTGAGAAGGACTGTTGTCGGTGGTAGTGACTGACGTTTCGACAACCTGTGCGGAAGTCATCATCAGAGTCAAGTGAATGATTGTTGTCAGTAGAATGTTCTTATTCCAGTTCGTGTGAAATGATCGGTTGGTTTTGTCGTGATGTTATTGGCTGTAAGACTCAAGTGACGTAAGTCGGTCGTGATTGGTCTGTTTCGATCTGTCGGTAAAGTTAGGTCGTTCTTTTTCGGTCGTTTGTGATGTATATTATATATTATGTATATTACTATATTATTATTATTATTATATTATTATTATTACTGTATTATTATTTGTGCAATATTCATTCGATAATTCATGCAAAATTTATTCGATAATACACGCTATATTCATTCAATAATTCAAGCTACAGTCATTCGATATTATCACGTGCCCCGTAGCTACATGACGGCTTGCTGAAGTCTACAGCACTGGTTGTCCTTCTTTCCATTTCAGTGAGTTGTTTTCACCAGTACGTATCGGTGAATCTAGCAAAAGCATTCGCGAAGCTCAAGAAACAAAAGCTGTCGTTCATTGTTAACAGTATCGGCCATGAAAATAATAATTGAAAGAGCCACTTCAACACCATTGAATAGATTGCCTGCGATAGGATATGTTAGTTCTTCAGAATCTATCTCACATCTATCTAGTAAATTGAGCAGGCTAAGCGCTAAAGACTCCCATTCAATTTGTTCCGCCATTTTAGACAACCAGTAGCCTAGCCTTCTATCCCAAATACGGAAGATAGGTCACTTGCATTATAGAATGAGTATTGCTTGAATTATCGAATGAATATTGCATGTATTATCGAATGAATATTGTTTGAATTATCAAATCAATATTGCATGTATTATCGAATGAATATTGTTTGAATTATCAAATGAATATTGCATGTATTATCGAATGAATATTGCTTGAATTATCAAATGAATATTGCATGTATTATCGAATGAATATTGTTTGAATTATCGAATGAATATCAAGGTAATTTATCGAATTTTGCTACAAGTTTATCGAATGTATTGAACAAAATCACATATATTTTAATCCATCAAACGTACACACACGACATAGAATATTGTAAAAACTATCGGAGGGGGAATATTTTTTAAATTGTTTACTTTTTTAAATACGGGAAAACTTTTTCATGAAATCGAAACGTGTACTTTTTATTTCAAAAACGTAGACGATGGCTTGTCTTTTATTAAAATCCTATAACAGGGTCATTTTGTGAATGCAATTGTCATGCAGTGGTGTGAATTCGGAATTCAGAAGGAAGTGCAACAAGAATTTGAATTTTGACCCTGAAAACGCGCCATAGATATATAGAACTCAAAATTTCGCTGAACGTTTCACAAACGAACAAATTGTGTTGAAGAATTCAGATATTAACGATTAAGAGTCACGTTGATTGACGTCACCGTTAACTTTAGCTACCTCTCTGTGTGTCTGTGTGTCTGTGTGTCTTTATTGTTCAAAAGATAAAATTACATATCTTATGTTACATCTAATACAGGAAAGTTACTTTATGTGTTACTTTATGTACTTATGTACTTATGTACTTATGTACTTTATGTACTTATGTACTTTATGAGTTACTTTATGTGAAGGATTATTAAATAACAAATCGTTTTCGGCTGCGTTTCAGTCTTTTTATAAACAAATGTAGTACCACAAAATTTATTTCGAAATCAATTTTTGCCGAAAAACCAAAGTGATTTAAGAGCGAGAGAGAAGAAAGATCTAATGTTAATTATCGCCAAAAGGTCGTGACAAAAGTCTTTCCTCAAAAATTCTGCCCAGCAGGCAAAATGAGATATATTTTTAAAAAATGGCAACAAAGCTTGAGATGTTCCGCAATAAGCATTGACTCAAGCGAAACGGATACCACCCGCCGTGAGCGGGCCAGATGGGGAGAATACTGCTCGCTGTGGGAACCAATCAGATTGCAGGATTCGTTGAATACCGCCCGCTCACGAACTGAGAAAAAAATAATTAGAATTATTTATCGGCTGAAGGTCGTAGTTGAAATCTCTGCTTACGAATGCTGACCAGCTAGTAAAGCAAAATATATTCATGAAAGTTTGCAACGAAGCCAAGGGTGTACTAGGCGACTGAACACGCAACGGATAGGATACCGCCCGCTGTGAGCGGGCCGGATGAGAGAATGCTGCCTGCTCTCGTAACCAATCAGATTGCAGGATTTGTAGATTACCGCCCGCTCACGAAGTGAGAAAAAAAAGTCTTATCTTTCCTTTAGAATGCTGAGGCGGACCTGAGTATGCTGCACCATTCGCAAACTCAGTTTCAGTTATCAGTAATAGCACAATCATGTACTAAAACCTCTTCAACTCACCAACCAGTAGTAACAAACTGATAGTTGTATTTCCCAGTGCATTTTTTGCAAAACAGGTATACCGTCCTTCGTCACTTGAAGAAGCATTCTGAACCTTCAAGGTCGAGTTGGTGGCAATTTTATTGCAATCGGCATG